CCTCTCTGCCAATCCCTCCACTGCCTTCCATACCCCACCCTCTCTGCCAATCCCTCCACTGCCTTCCATCCCTTGGCCCTCTCTGCCAATCCTTCCACTGGTTTCCATCCCATATTCCTCTCTGCCAATCCCTCCACTGACTTCCATACCCCACCCTCTCTGCCAATCCCTCCACTGACTTCCATACCCCTACCCTCTCTACTGATCCCTCCATTGCCTTCCATCCCCCGCCCCTCTACCAATCACTCCACTGCCTTCCATCCCTTGGCCCTCTCTGCCAATCCTTCCACTGGTTTCCATCCCATATTCCTCTCTGCTAATCCCTCCACTGACTTCCATACCCCACCCTCTCTGCCAATCCCTCCACTGCCTTCCATCCCTTGCCCCTCTCTGCCAATCCTTCCACTGTCTTCTATCCCCCATCCCTCTCTGCCAATCCCTCCACTGACTTCTGATCAGAGACCGGGCCCGTCTGCCAGGCTCTGCGCATAATGGCTTCCTTCTCCGCAAAGAAGTGTATGCGGCAGAGTACGTCTCTGGGCCTCACATCGCCATCCGGTCTGGCGCTCCCGACATGGTGTACGCGGTCTATCTCCAATGGAGAGTCCGGGGCCTTGTCTAGGAGCGAGTTGAGGATGGCGGTCACAGTTAAGCGCAGGCCGGTCGTAGTCGTGGCCTCCGGGAGCTCCCGGAGCTTGACATTGTTCCGGCGGGACCTGCTTTCGAGGTCATCCTGTGCGAGCAGCATGTCGGAAAGTTGACGATCGTAGTGGTTTGATTGTGATTCAAGGCGATCAATTCGCTGGGCCAGACACGTCTGATCGCTGGACAAGGTGGAGACCGTAGCTTCCAGATGGACGTATGGATGCCGGCGATGTCCCGCTTCAGCGCGTTCTCCATCTTGGAGACGATGGCGGCCATATCCTGCCTCGTGAGCAAGGAGGGCAATATGGAGGAGATCTCGTTGGTGGAGAGAGATGGGGGTGCGGCCAAAAACTGCAGCGGGGTCGGTGTAAGGTCTCGTTCACACCTAGGCGTATTGCATATGCGCGTCTGATTCGCGGTAAAAAAGTCACGCGTGTTTCCGAAGGCTACTTGGCTGCATCCCAATGGAAACGCGCAAAAAAACGGCCCAAAGTAGTACCTGTACCTTTTCAGACGTGGGCCGTTTTGTAGCGCGTTAGGGACGGGCAGAAATACGCCAAGGTGGGAACGAGACCATTGAATACAATGGGATTTATATTTTTGAGCGTTTTGTAGAGCGTTCGTCGAGCGTAGAACGCGCTACAAAACGTTCAGGTGTGAACGAGGGCTAAGCGGGAGAACAGGTTCTTCAATTGGGCTGGAGTGGTGCGGAGGGCTGCCCATCAGCGGGCATATGTGGTCGCTGGGATCCGAGATGGATGGTGAGGCCGAGGTGTCCCGTAGCGTAGGAGGAGAGGTAGGCCCTGGGGCCTTGCCTTGCGTCCCGGGGGCCATGTGCCCCTTAGATGAGCTGAGGGTAGAGGAGGCAGGGGTGGATAGGTAAAGATGTCAGGGAGCGCTTGCCGTTGTTAGAGCGGGATTTGTTCTTCTTCGACATCAAAATTCAGGGTCAGGGATGCCGTGATCAACTGAAAAGTCTCAGGTGGTAGCAGAGCTCAAGCAATGTGCTTCCTCACGCCGCCATAGCCAAGCCACGCCCCATCACGCCGTGGTTTATTGACAACGGTTGGGGAGCCACCATAGGTGTGGTGTCCTTTAAGTGGTTGTCAACTATTGTTTTGAGCACCTATTTTTTGGGCTGGATGTGTCTGCGGTTAACAGATAGATGTCCCCGAGGCGGTGGTATTGGGGGCTCATTATTAATCATCTGAAGCCGCAGATACAGGTTTATATGGCGGTTTCCTTTTGTTTACTTCATGTGCCTTCAGGGACCCGGAAAACTGTGCTAAAACTGTTTAACTGGGTTATGTTGTCTTCAGATAATTTATTGGTTTATTTTTGTATTTAAGTTGATATTTAATTAAAGAAAATAAGTGGCTGCTGCGGCCTTTGAACTCCATACAAGTCTGGTGTGTTTTTTGGGGGGTAGGTCAAAGTACGTCAAGTGGGGGACTCGTGGAGAAGGATGGGATCCCTCTAAAGCAGTGGTTCTCAACCTGTGTACTGCCACTGATCAGCGCTACAGCTGCTCTGTTGTTACTTGTAGTTCTACAAACTTGTCTGTCACTAATCTGCAGCTGGCTGGCTTGTAGTTCCACTACATTGGTTCTGTTTCTACCTTGCTCTTGCACTGGTCTTGCAGCATTAGACATTGCCCGCTGATTATTATGCAGCTTCTCAGCCAGGGTCGGATTTACTCTCCCTGCCGCCCCAAGGCCAGGTTCCGCGATACGCCCCCCTCCCTGCGCCGCAACAACCTCCCCCCCTTCCCATCAATGGAGAATGGCAACCAGATGGCAGGGCGGCGGGGTTAGTTAAACATTTTTTTTTTTTAACTGTTTCTTTATTTTGTTTAACCAGTTGACATCCGCGGTGTTACACCCCCTTCCCATCCCGGCCATTTTTCAGTATTCAGCGCTGCGGTACTTTGACTGACATTTATTCCGTCATGCAGCGCTGTACTGAAATGAATTTTATACCCTTTTTTGGGGACAGATAGAGCTTTCTTTTGGTGACTGTTTATCTCGGCGACATCACATGGAAACGAACCATCGGCTGCCTCACTCTACATTTAGCTCGGCTTGTGCAAAGCAGGACTGAATGTAGAGAGGGCAACCATCCCACCGCTGCCGCCCCTCTGCGCCCTGCCGCCCCGAGGCCGGGCCTCGGTGTCCCTGTGGGGAATCCGGGCCTGTTCTCAGCCAATCAGTACTGTCAGCTTGTGGCCAGTCTAGTGGTTCCTTCCTATTCCTCAGCTTATTTAAACTCTGTTCAGCTCTCAGTCCAGGGAAAGCTTTCCTAAGCTAGTTGCTGGTCCCCTATTCACTTTCAAAGTCCTTTTCTCTCTGTTGTTTCTGTGTACCGCTCTTTTGCATGTTTCCTCCTAGTCCTTGTCTGCCACCCGTCCTGACCTTTGACTTGTCTCCTGGTGTACATGTCTGTGTCAGGACCGGCTGTGGACGAGCGCTCTCAGAGCAAATATTGATGAGTTGTTTTACCTATAGCAGCCAGCGTTCCCGTAAGGCAAGCACACCTACCAGTACTTGGATGCCCCCAGGACTTAAACTATATGTTCTGATCAGGCGATGCCACCGGCTGGCCAGAGAAGGTGCTGATCCGAGGTATGGACCAAAGTAGAAAGACACTAATAGAGAGTATTCAGGGATCAACTGAGGTCAAAGGCTGGTGGCTGGCAAGGGTAATCCAGGCACAGGCTAAGGTCAGGGCAGGCAGCTGGCAAAGGGCAATCCGGGCACAAGCTGAGGTCAGGGCTGGCATAAAGCGTAATCCAGGGACAGGCCAAGCTCAGAACTGAAGACAAACAAGATTTGCAGACCAAGGATTTGCAGGAACAGAGCACGGCTTGTATAGCCAGAACTATCACAAGCACTGGGGAACAGGCTGATGATGCTTAAATAGGGTGCCACGAGCAAAAGAGCAGGGGGTGTGTGGTTAGGTAAAATAAGCCACAGCTGACTAGATCAGTGCTGCAACCAGCAAGACACGGGATGATTAACCCTCGCCAGTCAGGGCTGCAGCCAGCCATACAAGATGTCTGAACCACACAGGCTGCCTGACAGCCTACAGCCTGCCCTGTCCTTTGTCTTGTCTCCTGGTATCCATGTCTGCTGCCTGTACTGGCCTTTGGCTTGTCTCCTGGTAATCGTGTCTACGGTCTGTCCTGACTTTAGGCTTGTCTCCTGGTGATCCTAGTCTGCATCCTGCCCTGACCTTTAGCCTTGTCTCCTGAGCTTGGGTCCACATCCTTGAGTCCAGATCCTGACAGTTCGCTCTGGCCTGGCGCAGGCCTCTCTCTGAAGTCTAAATCTCTTATAATAGAAGGAAGGATGGAGACAAATGAGGTCTTACTAATGCTTTGTGTAGGGCCAGATTACATCGCACTGTCTCTCTGGAGTCTATACCTCTTAAAATACAAGGAAGGGTGGAGACAGACGAGGTCTTACTAATGCTTTGTATAGGGGTAGATTACATCTCTCTCGCTCTGGAGTCTATAACTCTTAAAATACAAGGAAGGGTGGAGACAGATGAGGTCTTACTAATGCTTTGTATAGGGGCAGATTAACTCTCTCTCTGGAGTCTATACCTTGTATATACCTCTTATTATACAAGGAAGGATGGAGACAGATGAGGTTTTACTATTGTTTTGAATAGGGGCATATTACATCTCTCTCTGGAGTCTATACCTCTTGTAATACAAGGAAGGATGGAGACAAATGAGGTCTGACTAATGCTTTGTGCAGGGCCAGATTACATCGCTCTATCTCTCTGGAGTCTATACCTCTTAAAATACAAGGAAGGATGGAGACAAATGTGATCTTGCTAATGCTTTGTAAAGGGGCAGATTACATCTACCTCTTGAGTCTATACCTCTTATAATAAAAGGAAGGATGGGGACAAATGTGGTCTTACTAATGCTTTGTAAAGGGGCAGATTACGTCTCTCTCTCTTTGGAGTCTATACCTCGTATAACACAAGGAAGGATGGAGACAGATGAGGTCTTACTAATAGTTTGTGTAAGGGCAGATAATGTATCTCTCTTTCTATGGAGTCTATCCCTGTTATTGTACATGGAAGGATGTCTTACTAATGCTGTGTATAGGGGAGATTACATCTCTCTCTCTCTCTCTCTCTCTCTCTCTCTCTCTCTCTCTCTCTCTCTCTGGAGCCTATCCCTCTTATAATACAAGGAAATGTTTTGTTTGCTATAGGAACTGCAGCCTGAAATTTCATATCATTGTTAAGTTTATGATCTATCAGAACTGCCAGATATTTCCCGGTCATTGATCCCCCCCGAGATGTACTCCTCTTAGATTGTATGATGCAATAATGTTCTTAGTCCCCAAGTGCAGAACTACAGTTATCACCATTAATCTTCATGAATCCTATATTCTACTCATAGCTGCCCAATATTACAGCATTCAGGTCAGCTGATAAATCACAGAAGTAGTAGTTTTTATCCCAAACTCTATATAATTTATAAACAGGTTCAAAAGTAAATGTCTCAAGACTGAACTCTGGGATACACCACGAAGAACACTGAACCTTGTGGTACAACACTAAAAACACTGAACCTTGGAGGACACCACTAGTAACACTAAATCTTTGGGTACACCAACAACAACAATGAACCTTGGGATCCTTGGGATACAACACTAAGAACATTGAGCATTGGGGTACACCACTAATAATATTGAACCTTGGGGTACATCACTAAAAACACTGAGCATTGGGGTACACCACTAATAATATTGAACCTTGGGGTACATCACTAAGAACATTGAGCATTGGGGTACACCACTAATAATATTGAACCTTGGGGTACATCACTAAAAACATTGAGCATTGGGGTACACCACTAATAATATTGAACCTTGGGGTACATCACTAAGAACATTGAGCATTGGGGTACACCACTAATAATATTGAACCTTGGGGTACATCACTAAAAACATTGAGCATTGGGGTACACCACTAATAATATTGAACCTTGGGGTACATCACTAAGAACACTGAACCTTGGAGGACACCACTAGTAACTATAAATCTTTGGGTACACCAACAACAACAATGAACCTTGGGGTACACCAATAAGAACAGTGAACCTTGGGGACACCACCAATAATATTGAACCTTGGGGTACATCACTAAGAACATTGAGCATTGGGGTACACCACTAATAATATTGAACCTTGGGGTACATCACTACGAACATTGAGCATTGGGGTACACCACTAATAATATTGAACCTTGGGGCACATCACTAAGAACACTGAACCTTGGAGGACACCACTAGTAACTATAAATCTTTGGGTACACCAACAACAACAATGAACCTTGGGGTACACCAATAAGAACAGTGAACCTTGGGGACACCACCAATAATATTGAACCTTGGGGTACATCACTAAGAACATTGAGCATTGGGGTACACCACTAATAATATTGAACCTTGGGGTACATCACTAAAAACATTGAGCATTGGGGTACACCACTAATAATATTGAACCTTGGGGTACATCACTAAAAACATTGAGCATTGGGGTACACCACCAATAATATTGAACCTTGGGGTACATCACTAAAAACATTGAGCATTGGGGTACACCACTAATAATATTGAACCTTGGGGTACATCACTAAAAACATTGAGCATTGGGGTACACCACTAATAATATTGAACCTTGGGGTACATCACTAAGAACATTGAGCATTGGGGTACACCACTAATAATATTGAACCTTGGGGTACATCACTAAGAACATTGAGCATTGGGGTACACCACTAATAATATTGAACCTTGGGGTACATCACTAAAAACATTGAGCATTGGGGTACACCACTAATAATATTGAACCTTGGGGTACATCACTAAAAACATTGAGCATTGGGGTACACCACTAATAATATTGAACCTTGGGGTACATCACTAAAAACATTGAGCATTGGGGTACACCACTAATAATATTGAACCTTGGGGTACATCACTAAAAACATTGAGCATTGGGGTACACCACTAATAATATTGAACCTTGGGGTACATCACTAAGAACATTGAGCATTGGGGTACACCACTAATAATATTGAACCTTGGGGTACATCACTAAAAACATTGAGCATTGGGGTACACCACTAATAATATTGAACCTTGGGGCACATCACTAAGAACACTGAACCTTGGAGGACACCACTAGTAACTATAAATCTTTGGGTACACCAACAACAACAATGAACCTTGGGGTACACCAATAAGAACAGTGAACCTTGGGGACACCACCAATAATATTGAACCTTGGGGTACATCACTAAGAACATTGCGCATTGGGGTACACCACTAATAATATTGAACCTTGGGGCACATCACTAAGAACACTGAACCTTGGAGGACACCACTAGTAACTATAAATCTTTGGGTACACCAACAACAAAAATTAACCTTGGGATACAACCCTAAGACCATTAAGCATTGGGGTACACCACCAATAATATTGAACCTTGGGGTACATCACTAAGAACATTGAGCATTGGGGTACACCACTAATAATATTGAACCTTGGGGTACACCACCAACAAACGAAAAGGCTTATCCAGAAACTCGGACACCAATTCAGTTAACCCGTTCCTCACAAATGAGGTTTACTATTGGCTATATTCCACAACCCATAACTAGACATGGAACTAGAAAGAAAAAGACATTGGCCCTTGGAGAGAAGGATCAGGTCATAGTAGGTAGAAAGGGTCGCAGTAGCCGGTCAGATAAAGTATAAATGCTTTATTAAATGATTGCACATGAATACAAATCCACTTGACACCAAACCCCCCCACCTTTCTGGCATTAAAAACACTAATATGGGCAACGTTGTCGCACTCTCTCACAACACTCGTTCATGCGTGCAAGCTGATAAGATTAAACTGTTGAGGGCGGAGCTCAGAATGCAAAGGAAAAGATAAGAAAAGTATCCAGTTTATGGCTCTTCAGAGCGCACTATAAATAAACATTGTGTAGAACAAAGTAGATCCTTTCATCCAATGTACGATTGCAACAGAGAGGCAGTCTGGTATAAGATACAACGGGATCTACGGCTCCAGAGAATGCTGATACCGGAAAGCACACTTTTATCCCGGGACTGAGATAAAAAATGAATAGTTTAGATCAGGGGTGAACAAGGTGAGCCAGGAGAGAGAGCGGGGAGAGACAGTCAGGGGAGTGAGGAGAGACAGCCAGGAGAGAGAGAGAGGGAGGAGAGACAGCCAGGGGAGAGAGCGCGTGGAGAGACAGCCAGGAGAGATAGCAAGGAGAGGCAGCCAGGAGAGCGCAGAGAGACAGCCAGGAGAGCGAAGAGAGACAGCCAGGGGAGCGAAGAGAGACAGTCAGGAGAGAAAACGAGGAATGACAGCCAGGAGAGAGAGCGAGGAAAGACAGACAGGAGAGAGAGAGAGGGAGGAGAGACAGCCAGGAGGATGAGTAAGGAGAGACAGCCAGGAGAGAGAGCAAGGAGAGACAGCCAGGAGAGAGAGCAAGGAGAGACAGCCAGGAGAGAGAGCAAGGAGAGACAGCCAGGAGAGCGAGGAGAGACAGCCAGGAGACAGAAAGGGAGGAGAGACAGCCAGGAGAGCGAGGAGAGACAGCCAGGAGACAGTAAGGGAGGAGAGACAGCCAGGACAGCGAGGAGAGACAGCCAGGAGACAGAAAGGGAGGAGAGACCGCCAGGAGAGCGAGGAGAGACAGCCAGGAGACAGAAAGGGAGGAGAGACAGCCACGAGAGCGAAGAGAGACAGCCAGGGGAGAGAGCGCGAGGAGGGACAGCCAGGGGAGAGAGTGCAAGGAGAGACAGCCAGGGGAGAGAGCAAGGAGAGGCAGCCAAGAGAGCAAAGAGAGACAGCCATGAGAGAAAACGAGGAATGACAGCCAGGAGAGAGAGAGAGGGAGGAGAGACAGCCAGGAGAGAGACAGCCAGGGAGGTTTTTTTTTCATTGGTAGTTCTCATGTAGCTCGTCATTTGAAAAGTATATCTTAGCAGAAAAATGATGGGCACCCCTGGTTTAGACCTTAGTAGGCAAACTTCACCGTTATGGATCTCACGGACAGGAAGTCAGGTCCTGTTGTGTGCTCAAACTGATAGCAGATTAGCAGATAGCAGAATATATTCCCTTTAAAGTGCACTTTGTGATATATTTTACAAAAATTAGCCGCATATTTATAATCCAATGCCGTTTACACCCAGAAGCCGTTTCTTGTCTAAAAAAACCCGACTAGGACACAGAGTCCACACACAGAGTCCCATTCACTCAGTGAATGGGAAGCTCTCAGTACAGAGGCTCCTCCCCATTCATTCACAAACTGCTGATAGTAAAATATTTACTATCATCCAGTTTCTGAATGGGGAGGAGCCTCTGTAGTGAGTGCTTATCCCCATTGAGAAATTCATGAATGAACAGGAAGTGATGTAAATCACATCCTGTTCATTCATAACTGGGGACACAAAGTACTATGTGCTCCCAGTTATTTACAAACACCGGAGTGATCAGACGATCGCTCCGCTGCTTGTCCAGCACACGGAGGATCGGTAAATATCAATGATACCTATTGA